AAATTTGTTTTTAAAGGCACAAAACAAACCACCCACTTTATTCTCATATTTATTAAAAACAGTAATGTTTACTATCTCTTGAGTCTCTTGGTGAGTCCTTCACATATGTGATCCTGGTGGAAAGATGCATTTCTGCACCTGAGGCATGAATCCTCTCCTCTCAGTGCATCCAGAAGAAAGTCTCTCTCCCCACAGTTCCCAGAGGTTCTGGGATTGTCTCCCCTGACTCTAACTGGCCTGTGTCCAGTGGCCACAGCCACTGGAGGCCTGTGGCCTCCAACCACCATAGGCAGGTAGCACAGCGGTCACATTCCCACACCTGCAGCAGCTCCACCCAACCCATAAGGACAGTAACTGCAGGATAGCGAGTTTCTCAAGGAAAATCAGGATGCTACTGACTACTAGAGGGGGGAGGAAAGGAAACAAGAGATGTCTATTAAAGAGTCAAATTGCAGCCTAGCCTAAGCTGCCAAAGGTTGCAACAGAGGTTAAAAAAAGTCATCAAACAATACAAACTAAGTAAAGAAGCTCCCAGAATCAGAGCCCTATCTCCCATCTTCTGCGAAGTTTGGCTTTGCATCTACCACACAGACCTGAACATTCATCTGAAAAAATAAAGACATAGTTTGTTATAGAACTGGGTTTCTCAACTTCCACACTATTAGCATTTGGGGCTGAATAATGGTTTGTTATGGGAGGTCTGTTCTGGGCACTGCAGAACATTTAACAGCATCCCTCACCTCCATCCCCTAGATACTAGTCCAACCCACCCCCAGTTATGAAACTGAAAATGTCTCCAGACATTGCCAAATGTTTTCCAGGGGGCAAAATTGGCCCCCAATTAAAAACCACCATATTATAAGGCATGAGAATGATCTATATACAATGGAATATTACTTAGCCACAAAAAAGAGAAAAATAATGCCATTTACAGCAATGTGGAAGGATCTGGAGATTGCCATCCTAAGTGAAATAAGCCAGAAAGATAAAGGAAAACACCATATGACATCACTTATATGTGGGATCTTCAAAAATGACACAAATGAACTTATTTACAAAACAGAAACAGACGTAGAAAACAAATATGGTTCCCAGGGGGAAAGAGGGTAGGGAGGGATAAATTGGGAGTTTGGGATTTGCAAATACAAACTACTATATATAAAATAGATAAACAATAAGGTATAGCATAGAGAACTATATTCTATATCTTGTAACAGCCCACAATGAAAAAGAATATGAAAAGGAATATATATATATATGCACAATTGAATCACTATATTATACACCAGAAATTAACACAACATTGTAAGCAGACTATACTTCAATAAAAATCAATAATTAGAAGACAAGAGAACAGAAAAGAAGGGCTTTATTCACTAACCAGGAAGGACAAATCCAAGTCACCTGGTCCAGCTGGCCCCTCTGAAATCCTGGGGCCTGAATGGTTGGAATTCTGGGCAGAAGAAATGGACACTACTGGACACTAGGAGCCAGAGCCGGAGATCTGCTTGAAAACTTTGCTAGGGGCTGGCCTCAGAGATGCCAGGATCTCCCCTCTAATTCAAGTTTCATGTGGTCACAAATCTTACCACTTACTGAGTGCCTATGGCATGCAAGGCACCACCGGGTGCTTACATGCAACTTCTCACTTAATCACATATCAACATTCCAATGCAGGTGTTAGCTGCATTTCAGAGGAGGAAACTGAAGCTCTGAGAAATTAGTTGCCCTAATTTCGCACTTCGTAAATGGTAAAGCTGAGATTCAAAACCAGTTGTCAGATTCCAGGGTCCTCACCTCTCCTAACACACCCTGTGGCCTCCCTGCATGTCTACTCTGATGGCCAAGCTCCCATGACTTTCCATTTCTAGTCCAGTTTCTCTTTCCTTTGAGATCTTATTTTATATCTTTTCTTGTTCTTCTCCCTGTGCTCTCCGTTACTGCTTCATCTGCTTTAATCGCTTCATCTCCACAGGTCTAACGTAACAAAGGAAGGGAACAACAGTAACAACTGCTCACCTTCAGATGAAGAACCACACTTCACTCTTCTCTTGGCAATTTGGTCATTTTAGAGATTGGTTTCCAACTTAATTCTGCCTGAGTTTAAATTTATCATTTCAGAGACCTCATAGTATGATGAAAGGGCGTATGTTTGGGACTCAAAAGACCTGGGTTTTAATTTTGGCCCTAATACAAACTTGCTGTGTGACATTGGGAAAATGACTCAACGTCTCTGAGTCTCAAATTGGAAGCCTAGATTTATTCATCTACAAGGACTCTCCTAGCAATTTGGCATTAAATGTAAAATTAATTTCACAGCCATTTAAAAAGTCTAAAATACTTAGAAGAGGTTTGAAATAAGTAAACAAGGGCTGCTTCTCAGGGAGATGGCTGGAGAAGAGCCCCACTGTGTGGAATAACAGCTCGAAGCTGACTTCCGCTGTGTTCCATGAGGACAGAGAAAGGGACAGGCCTGTGTCACCTGAGTCTGGATATAAAAGGTGATTAGAAATGCATGCCCAGGCTGAAGGAGGACACCGAGTGAATTAGTGATGGCCCTCAGATGTCTGTTGCCTGGTGACAGCGAGGCAGAAGGTGGGGCACCTGGTAAGGCCCCGCAGAAGACTGGTGTGAACAGAGCGCCCCGCCTGGAGCCCCTGCGCGCCTGGTTGTGGGTGTAGCCCTGGCGCAGAAGGAGGCCGCCTCCAAGTATTAGGTGAACATGATTCATTTAGCAGAAGCCGGGCGAGCCCGGCGCCTGTCACACCCAGAGACACACGCGCGCCAACCCTCCCGCCTTCCGTCTCACAGGCACTGGCTGCCCAGAAAACAGCGACCCTGTGGTCAAAAACGGGGAGCCCCGCAGCAGGAAGGGCTCCCTGCAGAGATGACGGGGTGGCCTGAACCCCTGCCCGGAGCCGGAGCCGGAGCCGGAGCCGGGACCGCTGAGGCCAGGAGGGAGCTTGTAGAGCGGGAGCGCCCTCCCTCCCTCGGCCTCGCTCTCCCATCCCTAACTCGGCTGTCTTCACACTGTATTTTCTGTTCTGAGGCCTCAGAGGGAGTCTCTAATGGCTCCTCACAGCCGAAGAATTAGAAGCCCACTGAGGTGCGGGGAACCCACCCGAGCTTTGTAGTAAAGGTGGTCTGAGAGCTTGAGAGGAAAACCTCCAGGGAGTGGCCAAAGAAAGGGGCCCCTTCCTCTCCCTGGCCACGCCGCGCGCCATTTTCCCGGTGCCGACTCGGCGGTGGGGGTGGGGGTGGGGGGCGGCCCGGAGGATTCTGGGAAACGGCCCAGGGCCTCCCCTGGCTCCGCGAGTCCTGGGCGGATACAGAGGCCAAGCAGGTGAGGACAGGCCCTGCCGCGCTCGGTCCTGTGGACAGGGAAAGTCAGCCCCGGGCAGTGGAGACGAGGACACAGTTCAGCGGACTGAGTGTGAAGGGAGGGTGGGGTGGGATGTCAGAGGGCTCCAAGCTGGGCAAGGTGTCTGCGAGACACCGGTCACTGCGTCTGGGAAGCAGACACGTCCAGCCAGGGGTAGACAGAGGGCTTGGCACTCAGGGGTCATCTGGGGTCATCAGGGAGCAGGAAGAAGTTGACACGTGGAGGGTGGACCAGTTTGCACAGTGGAAGCACATAGGCTGAGAAGATGGGTAACAAGAAAAATGTCGTTTTAAAGTGTCCTCTGTTCAGAGGCTGTGTTTCCTGGGCCAGGTCACTTTTGAGTTACTAGGAAATGTAATGGTGATGATCACCACACAGAACCTTCACGAAAGTTTAAAGTCACGATTGAAAGAACAGTCAGCAGTCCCTCCTGAGCGTCTTCCAAGTTTTTACAGGTAATTGCGCTGAGAAAGCTGCCTGACTCCTCCAGGAAGGGATGCCTCCGCCATCCACTAGACAGTGCCTCCTCTGTTTCACCCAGAGAAGGCAACACCTTCATCTGTTTGGTGTATCCTTGTACCCTAAGTGTTAGAACAATCTCGATCACACGGAAGAGACTCAATAACTGTATGATGAATGAATAAATCATTTAATCATCAATCTTTAGACTGAATAGTAGACCTCCTTTCAAAAAATCATTTCTATATCCAAAGCCTCTAAACCAGTGCTTGATACACAGTAGGTGCTGAATAAACGTTTTTGAATGAGACAAATGTTTCCAGATACCAACAGCAGGAATGTTTGCTCCCTGGCTGCCCGGGGAATCATTTACTCCCAACCCAACACCCACCACGCCACCCCCTCATCCCTCACCTAAAATTTGGATACATTTCTGAGTTGTTCTCTAGACAAGCAATACATTCACTTCTTTCTTCTCTAAAAATGTATATGCAAAAGAAATAAATAAAAATAAAAATGTATATGCAAACTTTTTTTTTTTTGGCTAAAAATCAAGCCTGGTAAACCTCTGTCCTCCCTAACAGCTAGAAAATAAACACAGGACACAGGAAAGACATGGCTTAAAGGAGGAGAAAATGTCTACCTGTTTTAGGTAATTTGAAGAGCTGATTTTATAAGAGACTGTGTGTGTTTGCCGGATTATAAATGAGAGCTTCCAGACCCACAGGCTCTATTTGGTGATGCTAACCGCCGCCCCACCACCACCATGAATCCCCGCAGGAGCAGGCTGGCAGGACAGCACCTCAACCACCAAATCTGCATAATAGACATAATTACTACCATCAGGGTGAGTGACAGAAACACTGTCATTAACGATGTTGTATAATCTTCCTTTTTTGTTTTGGCCTATGGTAAATTAAGATCATTTCCCTCTCCTCTTGAAAGGATTCAGCTGTCCTGTTTCTCATTCTCTCCCCCACCTCAGATCCACAGCGTCCCCCCTCCCAACTCCCACCCCAGCCCCCGGGCCCCTCTCTCTTCAGCTCTCCCTCCTGTTCCCACACCCATCAGCCACTGACTCACCTCCCCATGTTTTCCTCAGGGATCTGACCACTAGCCTCCTCCTTTCCCTTTTAATTTAGGGTTGTGACATCTTCCCTGGCGAGGTCACTAACCTTTATTTAGGAGACCGGGAGCCATTACCCACCACCACAGAGGCTGCCCAACCCTCCCGCCTTGGAATTTGGTCTGAAGGCGGCATTACTGCCACGTGCGGGCTTCGGGTGGGAAACCTGTTCCTGGCACTGAATTTTTGGTGGCAGTTTTTGGTGCAGTGGGAACTGAACTGAGTGGCCTTTTGTTTGAAGCCAATCCAGTGGTGGCCGAGCACGGGGCAAAGCCAACCTTTTGCTACAAGTCAATGCCAGTTCTGAAAAGCAGGGTGTTTCAGGCACTAAAGCTTGGGTTAATAAAAAAGCCCAGTGTTAATAAAAAACTAAAAGCAATTATAATATTACCATTTTTATTAGTTTCCTAGGGCTGCAATTACTACAAATTGCCACAAACTGGATGGCTTAAAACAACAGAAGTTTATTCCCTCACAGTTCTGGAGGCTAGAAGCTTAAAATCAAGGAGCTCTGTCCAAAGCTTTCGGGGGATATTTCCTTGCTCCTCTTAGCTTCTGGCGGCTCCGGCCATCCCAGGTCTTGTAGATTCGTCCCTCCAACCTCCGCCTCCATCTCCACGTGGCCTTCTTCTCAGTGCGTGCATCTCTGTGTCCTCTGCTCTCCTCAAAGGACATCATTCATTGGGTTTGGGATCCACTTTAATCCAGCATGCTCTCATAGTAACTAATTGCGCCTGCAAAGACTAGTTCCAGATCTGAGATTCCAAGTGGACACGAACTTTGGGACACTATTCAACCCAATGCATTACTTTAAAGACTTAGGAAGATAGATTTTTTTTTAAACATTTCTGAATTTCTTCATATTCTCTGGCATATCTCTCAAGTATCATCTAGAGGAGAAGGGAAGCAATGAAAGAATATAGTATGTTAATTTGGGGATTTTTTAATCCCAAAGTGTTCCCTCAAAGCTAATTTAAATGTAGGGACCTCTATATGACCCAGCAATCCCACTCCTGGGCACCTATCTGGAGAAAACTCTAATTCAAAAAGAGAGACAGGAGAGATTGGGAACACCAGATCATTTGTGTGCCTGTGCTCTGTGCTCTAAATAAAATTAGTTCCATTAAAAAAAAAAAGATACATGCTCTCCATTGTTCATAGCAGCACTATTTACAGTAGCCAAGATATGGAAGCAACCTAAATGTCCATTGACAGATGATTGGATAAAGAAGCTGTGGTATATTTATACAATGGAATACTACTCAGCCATAAGAATGAAATAATGCCATTGGCAGCACTTGGATGGACCTAGAGATTATCATACTAAGTGAAGTAAGTCAGACAGAGAAAGACAAATATTATATGATATCACTTAGATATGGAATCTAAAATATGATACAAATGAAATTATTTGCAAAACATAAAGAGACTCACAGACATAGAAAACAAACTTATGGTTCCCAAAGGGGAAAGTAGGGGGAGGGATAAATTAGAAGTTTGGGATTAGCAGGTACAAACTACTATATATAAAATAGATAAACAATAAAGTCCTACTGTATAGCACAGGGAATTATTTTCAATATCTTGTAATAAACCAGGAATGGAATAGAATATGAAAAATAATACATATGTGTGTATAACTGAATCACTTTGCTGTACAATGTGCAGAAACTAACACATTGTAAATCAACTATACCCCAATAAAGATTAAAATAATTACAAAATTAAAAATTAAAAAAATAAACTTAGGAGCGTCAAGAAAAAAAAATCACAATCCTCCTTAGTGTTTATTTTTCAGCTCAATATACTCATCTCCTCTTTGGGTAGAGGCCCTTTCCTCTGTGCCTCACCTCTCCCACCTCCCAAATTCAGGTGCTGCCTTAAAGTACTTACTTACCTGCAAAGACAGGTACATACTGTACGAACAGCAGAAATGTTAATGTGAAGTGTGGAAGAAAGATCCCTTAGGGCTTTCAAAGCCTCATTTTAGAGTGAATTAAACCTTATTTGTATAAACTTTGCATAAGCTTTTCTTAAAATGGAGCTAAATAATATTCGGTAACTAGAACAAAGGTGGCCTTTCTACTACTTAAATTTCCAGTTCCTATGTCCACACAATTATAGTGAAAGGAGCAAAGTCAATGACCAGGGTACTTCAGATCCAAAATTCTGATTTAAAAAACAAAAACATAAAAATAAACCAATTAAAAAAAAAATAAAACACTGGTTCTCAACCAGGAGGAATTTTGCTCCCTGGGGAGCAATTGGCAATATAGGGGATATTTTTGGTTGTCATGCTTAGAGGGGTGCTACTGGAACTAGAGACCAGGGATGCTGCTAAACATCCTACAAAGCACAGGAAAGCCCTTCACCACAAAGAATGATCCAGCCCCAAGCATCAATAGTACCAAGACAGAGAAGTCTTGGTGTAACACGAAGAAAATCTTTCTACAACCACATTTGGATCACATTTCACTCCTGCTTAAATGGCTGCATGTTATCTTTCAAAATGCAAGCTCCTTGGCCTTTAAGACCTTCCAAAACTTTCCCCAGGTTCCCTTTCCAGCCTTCTCTCTCACTACTCCCAATATGAACTCTTCTTATCTACAACCCTGAGCCTGCAGTTACCCTGCTCACCCTACTTTGAAAATGTTTCCTCCTCTCTCACCCTCAGAGCTCATCTGTCCTCCAAGGACCAGCTCAAGCTCCTCACCTTCCAGAAGTCTCTGGGACCAGTCTTCTCCTCTCAGTCTCATCTTGCCTTCCTCTCCCCTCACTCAGGACACTCCAGCCACACTGGTCCTCCTTGCTGTGCCACTAACACACCAAGCTCTGTTCCTCTCTCCTCATCTGGCTCCTTTTATGACTGGCAGCTTATTCTTTAGATTTTCAGCTTAAATGCCATCAACTCAAAAAGGCCCTCCTTGAGCCTCCTATTCACTGCCCAAGTGCTCTGTCATCACTCTATTTGGTTCCTTCCTAATATTTATCTCTGCTCAGTGTCCTGTTTATTCACCTGCTTGCTTCTTTCCTGTCTTTTTTCTCACACTAGGATGAGCACTCTGAGGGCAGGAAACTTGTTTAGTTTTTTATCAATATGTCTCAGCCCTTTCACAATTAGTCTGACTCATAATAAGATGTTCAATAAATATTTATTAAATGAATAAATGAATGAACTCATAGGCAGATATTGTAGAAATTGTTTTCTAATGGAGGTACTGCGGATTAAACCCAGAACCTTGTGCATGCAATTCATGTACTTTCCCACTAAGCTATACCTACCCCCACCATTGAACTCTTGAGGAACATATCTCTCATTCTCAAGAGCAGAACTGCCCCACCCCCACAGTACAGCATGATGCTTTGGGTAAGTTTCTAGTAATTGTGCACTGGATGAGTAAGTGCCTGCCACAAATTTATTATCTGTAGAGTTTACATTCCAGTATTTCTAGATCTAGACCCCACAGTGGACCTGCTTTATTGTTCGTTCTAAGTGGTGGGTGTGGGAGCAGGAGGCAATACTCTGACTGATGAGGTAAATTACCTGGTAGCCACTACATTCTGATGAGGATTTCAGAATTGCTCCAATTCTGTTTTATGGCACTATCATGCCTTGTTTATTATCGCTAGTCTTCATACTCTTTCCAGGAATAAATTTCCATTGATCTGTTTATCTAAATCTATGCAGTTCCTTGCTCTGCAGAGAGGCTCTCAATTCTTTGATTTTTCCTCCCCCGAGGCAGTTGCAAAGATCCAACAGTGTTCTTACGAGGCATTGTGCCATATTTCCTCTAGTCACCTATGGCAGAGATGCTAACTATCTCCTGATACTCCTTTTCCTCATGGTTGTAGACTGTTTAGTTGGGACACGGCCGCCCCAGTTGAAGCCCACATTTCCCAGACTCCTTTGCACTGAGGTACGGCCATGAGACAAAGTTCTAGCCACCGGAATATGCATGGTATGTGTGCGGCTTCCTGATGGAGAGCTTGAAAGGTGAATGCTTTCCTCTTCTTTCTCTTTTCTGGCTTAAATGTGGATGAGGTAGTGTCCACCCTGCAGATGAGGGCAATATTCCAACAATGGCAGAACAACAAAGTTGAAGGCAATCAGGTCAATGACTCTATGGCTGCCGTGCAGGCCTGGATTCCTTAGGCTCAGAAGATTCTGTGGGAGAAAACACTTTCTATCTTGTTTAATTAACTGTTATTTGGGGTCTATCAGATGACCTGATAGCCTTACCCTTTCCTACCTTCCCCACTAAGAAAGTCAGCAGTACCGTCCCAGTTTTGCCAAACTGCAATAAAGAGGGTTTATGCTGCTCTCCCCCCTACCTCTCTCCCCCCCATCCCCATCACCCAGTAAAATTGGCAGAAATGGGAGCACTGAGGCAGGACTTCCCGCCTCTCTCTGCTGCCTCTCCTTGGCTGCTCATAGCTCCTTCCAACCTCGCTCTTATCCACGGGCACTGATCAAGGAGCACAACACAGTATGAGTAAAGGATTATTTTAAGGGACCCTGAGCAGGCTTATCTCCAGCCAGCAGTGCTTTTTTACATTCCCAGGTGGAATTCACCCCATTCCTTTTCCTCAGCTTTCCCTGAGGTTTCATTTACCCGCACCAACACTGAGCATGGTTCCTTCAGGTTTTAAGGATGCCTCCAGAACTTGTGATCTGAGTCTTGTCTCTGTGGATTGTTTTCAGGTTATCAGAGACCACCCCCCCTCAAGCACGAATACTCTTTACCGGCATCGAAGTGCCTTGCGGTGGTCTCCATTTACCATTTGTTGAAAATAGATGACCTTAGTGTCCCTCAGCTTTCTCAATGAAAGCAGCCAAGAAAAAAGATGGGACAGTCGACTTGTTCATGTGACAAGTGTAGGCACTGAGAATGCATCGGAGAGTAAGACAGACAAGGTCCCTGCCTCCCAGAGCTCCTGTTTTAGTGCAGGAGACAGGCGCCCAAGAAAACCAGGAAGACCTAGGAAGGAGAGAGAAGGAGATGGGGAGCTAGGACAGGGAGAAGAAGAAGTTGGCTCACATTGTGATGAACACGCTATGAAGAAAACACAACGGGAGGTGGGCCAGGCAGGCCTCTCCTAGGAGAGACTGATTGAGCAGAGGCTTGAATGACACCATGCCAGTTGTGGGGATAAAGATCTGGGGAAGGATTCCAGAAGAGGGAACAACAGATGCCAATGCCTGGGGATGGGAACACGCTGAGTGTGCTGAGGGGCAAATGGATGACCCTTCTTGGCTACAGTGACACGACTAAGAAGGAAACGCATGAGATGCATCTGCTCAGCCTCCTCCCAGCCCTCAAAAGTCCACACGTGGAGTTGGAAAGGTGGGCTTGAGGGTCAGGAAAAGAGGAAACGAGAGGCCTACCCTTAACCAATGTCTTTCCCAAGGAGAAAGGAGCTTAAGGATTCTCTGAACATCTGTTTCAACTGCGCCCAGGCCCTCATGATCTCAGGGTCCTTTAGAGAGGGCTCTGCCTGTGTTTACACTTGGATGTGTGGTGATTATGGTGATGACGATAGGCATTGGCAATTGAAAGTTTCGCTAAACTTTAGTGTTAAATGTATCCTCTTCTAAATTCTCTAAAATATGTACCTTCTAGCACAAGCAGAAAGTAGAACTTCCTCTTCTGGGGAGGGGGTAGCATGCACGAGGTCCTGGGTTCAATCCCCAGTATCTCCATAGGAAAAATAAATAAATAAAACTTCCTTTCTAAGACTCACTACTTAATAGAACAGCTCATCCTAAAGCAGAACCAAGAGTATAAAAAGGCAGATTCTTGCCTTGACGCCATTTCATTCCCCATTTAGGATGTTGTAGCCCAGATGGCCTCAACTTAGCTTGAGTGACCCAAAACAAAAGTTCTGATCA